ATCCTTCCTCAGCTGGAATCAGCCCGCTGGTTTCATGTTAGGGTATTTATTACAACTCAATGGTCATATGGATGCTGGCCCCAGGCTAGCACTCAGAGGGATAAGGCTCAGTCCTACTGATCAGGAGTCCCCAGCTGTGTGCCTGGGACCAGTGGACCTGCAGCCCATATTCACTGGTGCTGTCGAGCTGACCCACGTCCGACTTCTCTGAGACCCAGTCCTTGTGCATCTGGTCAGGGTCTCTGGTCTCCTTCCACTCCCCCAACAAGCCCACAGGGCAGCAGTTTGTCTCTGGGCTGACCCTGAGGTGCCCCAGAGCCCCACCAGGATGAAGACTCCCCTCTCCACAGCTGGCAGCCGTGGGGTCCCTGGAGCTGGCGAGCGAAGACCTGCGCTCTGTGTGACCACAGGAGAGTGGCCTCCCCTCTCTGGTCTGGGTCTCTTGGTCCCTGCGATAGAGACCACCTTCCGTCCTTTCCCATGTTGAAGCAGCCCCCTTGGTGGGGTGAGAGGGCCTTGTGAACCCTGCGCCCGTAAGACACCAGTGGGGTCAGGGGACGCTGAGCCCTGGGTGTCAGAACTCCCAGGGGCTCTCAGTGGGAGGAACAAGCCTTCTGCTGGGCTCGCCCAGGCAGGACTCGTACCTCCACCCTCCAGCCTTTCAGCCAGTGGCTGTGTGTACCAGCCCTTTGCCCTGCCTGGGCTCTGTGTACAAGTGCCCTAGAAACGTGAGAGGCTCTTCTTACTTGTGCAGGGCTGACTGCACCCCTCTGGGCCCCCTGGGAAGTGGTGCTGGGCGGCGGGCCTTGGCTGCATCACTGGCCCTGGGGGAGGTTGTAACAGGTAGTAGGGAATGTGTCCACACCTTTCTCAGGACTTACTGAGTCCACTGCAGGACTTTTCAAGGAAGGGAGCTCAGCGTGGACTCAGCCTGTGGCCCAGGTCTGAAGTCTGCTGAACGGGGGCTCAGCTGGGACAGGGGCTCAGCCAGGGCAGGGGCCGGGGCTCAGCTGGGACAGGGGCTCAGCCAGGGCAGAAGTAGGAGTTCAGCCAGGGCACGGGCTCAGCCAGGGCAGGGGAAAGAGCTTAGCCAGGGGCATGGGCTCAGCCAGGGCAGGGGCAGGGGCACAACCAGGGCAGGTGCTTGGGCAGGTGCTTGGGCAGGAGCTCAACCAGGGCAGGGGCAGGGGCAGAGCCAGGGTGGTGTCCAGTTCTCAGCCTCTGCTCTGCTCTCCACAGGGTGCCAGGTACAGGGGCTCCATCCGGGACTTCCCAGACTTCGACCCCAACCAGGATGCTGAGGCTCTGTACACTGCCATGAAGGGCTTCGGTAGGTGCAAAGAAGGCCCGGGGGTGGGGGTGTTCCCCAAAGGTGGGTATGCCCCAGAACCCTTGGGTGGTGGCAGAGACATGAGATGTACTCACTCATTCTTCTGTGTCCTCTTTTTATTGTTTTCATTAGTTTTACAATCAATCTTAGCCCAAAGGCCAGGAAGCAATTATTCTTAAAACCATTCCAGACAATAAAAAAGTACACAGAAACCTAGAAGGATAGACCATAGACCATCACACAGCTACAGAGGTGGAGCTTCATCTGTGCAGTGGAAGCCTCTTATGGCAGCTCCCCCTCCTGGTGTTACTACCTGCCCAGTGTCCCTGTGTAGGCCGCATGGTGACCACGGCCTGGAACCAGTGCTCATTGTTCTTGTCTTCCCAGGGTTGAAAGAGCCCTGGCCTGGGAGTTAGAACCGCTGCTGTGTTCTCTAAGCCGATCATCGTCCGATCTTGGTCAGCCCTTGCCACGCTGGGTCTCACACTCACTGGCTGGTCAGTGAGGAGCTGGGCCCCAGCTCTCTGCACTCAGAGAATCTGTGTCCCTTGGCTCCTTTCAGTGGGGGCCTGATAACATGTCCATAGGCCTCCTCTCCCACACCACGGCTTCACCAGCAAGCAGCTCGTGCCAGGACTGCAGAGAGCTGTAGCCAGGGCGGGGGACAGCCCAGGTGGGCTTCCTGGAGGCAGGCTGAGTGGGATGACTGTTGTCCTCCGACTTCTAGGCAGTGACAAGGAGGCCATCCTGGAGCTGATCACCTCCAGGAGCAACCGGCAGAGGCAGGAGATCTCCCAGAGCTACAAGTCCCTCTACGGCAAGGTAACACGGCTGCAGGAGGCGGGGGCTCGGGGAGATGTGCCCTCCCGCCTGGGCTCAATCCGGTTTTTTTCTTAGCACGTGGCTCCGGTGCTCTGCGTGTGTGGACACCGCCTCCCTCTGAATCTCACCCTGCTCTCTGCCTGCCCTCATTCTGCCGGGCTGCATGGGTGTGGCCACAGATGGGGGGCAGAAGGCAGACGGAGAGCAGGTCAGCCACCGGACAGTGGTGGGTGAGGCTCAGTGGCAGGGATGTGAGCCCACACAGACATTTGTCGCTGTGAGACTGCAGGCACGGGTTCTTGATGCCTCTGTGTCTTAGCGCTGACGGTAGGACACACGTCAGAGATGGCCTGGCCTGTGCAGAGTCAGCGCATACAAGCGTCGCTCACCCTCTCCCGTCCCCACCCCTCACTCCAGGACCTCATCGCCGCCCTGAAGTATGAGCTGACCGGGAAGTTCGAACGACTCATCGTGGGCCTGATGAGACCACTCGCCTACTGCGACGCCAAAGAAATTAAAGACGCCATCGCGGTAAGAAGCGACAGCCCCTGCTCATGTGTGTGTGCGCGTGTGCACGCGTGTGCGTTCTGAGGACAGTGGTTGACGGGGACATTTCTGGCCTCGCTCACCCAGTTGGTGGGCCCCGCTCCGGGAGACGGCTTATCTAAACCACGTCCCGGAGGGGCCCCACAGCCTCCTCCAGGCAAACGGATGGGGACGAGTGCTGGTGTGAGGCCGAGCTCATGCAAATGCCTCCATGGTCCACAGCCCTGCATCAAGAGCTGACAGTGCCCCGGAAGCAGGATGTCGGGGTGTGGGGAGGAACACAGTCGGCCTGCCCTGGGGTGGCTTGAGCGGGCTTCTTAGAAGAAGGGCTGGGAGGGAGAAGATAGCAGGAGAGGTCGTGGAGGTGTGTTCAGGAGTCAGTCGGCCGAGGTAGAAGGCGGTCCCCTGGGAAGTACAGAAGTGTATGCGTCTACGATGTATACGTTTCTTAAGCCCTTGAAGGAACTGAGTGGTTTCCAAAGTGCTACTACACGGGACTGACGTCCTGCCCGATGGGCGTGGCGATGCCAGTGATGAGTGTGTGCCCGGGAGTCTTGTGAGTGTGGCAGAGGGACTGGTCGCAGCCCCATGTTACTTACGGGCGAGGAAACGGAAGCTCAGGAAGTTGGTACTGCGGGCTCAGCAAGCCAGCTCTTACTCTCAGGATTGCGCTTTTTTTAAAATCATTTTATTGGGGGCTCGTACAGTTCTTATCACAATCCAGCCAGCCAGCCATTGTGTAAAGCACATGTTTACAGTTGCTGCCATCATCATTCTCAAAACATTTTCTTTCTACTTGAGCCCTTGGTGTCAGCTCCTCATTTTCCCCTCCCTCCCCGCCCCCCCTCCCTCATGAACCGTTGATAATTTATAAATTCTTTTTCATGTCTTACACTGACCAATGTCTCCCTTCAACCACTTTTCTGCTGTCTGTGCCCCTGGGAGGGGGTTATATGTAGATCATTGTGATCGGTTCTCCCTTTCCAGCCCACCTTCCCCTTCCCCTCCTGGTATGGCTACTGTCATTATTGGTCCTGAAGGGGTTATCTGTCCTGGATTCCCTGTATTTCCAGCTCTTATCTGTACCAGTGTACAGCCTCTGGTCTATCCAGATTTGTAAGGTAGAATTGGGGTCTTGATAGTGGGGGCGGGGGGCAAAGGAAGCATTAAATTGTATGTTTCATCAGTGCTGTCCTGCACCCTGACTGGCTTGTCTCTTCCTTGTGACCCTTCTGTAAAGGGATGTCCAATTGTCTACATACAGGCTTTGAGTCTCCACTTCGCCCTTTTTCATGTCGATATGATTGTTCTGAGCCTCTGATGTCAGGGCTGTTCTTGACTCCACGGCACCCTCTCTTCCCAGGGCGTTGGTACTGATGAGAAGTGCCTCATTGAGATCTTGGCCTCCCGCACCAACGAGCAGATCCACCAGCTGGTGGAAGCATACAAAGAAGGTGAGAGGGGCACGGGGCCAGTGGGGCGCTGCAGGGGGAAAGTGAGGGTGATTGCGGTAAACAGCCACGTCTTGGGGCCATCGCTAACCTCCTCTGGCTGCCCCATTGCCCCAAGACAGGGGTCAGGCATGCTTCCCCGCTCAGCCCTCCTCACCTGCTCTGACTCCCACCGTCCGACTTCTCTGCTGGGTGCAGTCTTTCATGACCGTGGCCACCCAGGACTCACAGACAGCACTTGCAATGGTGGGTGTACTGGGGAAGTTAACAGGTCATGACAAGGACTGGTAAATGGTAAAGATTCGGTCACAGACCCTTGATCCACAGCATTGCTTCTCCTCAGCCAGTGGCCAAGCCTCTCTCTGGTCCTCAGCCTCTCGGCCACGAGGTCTCTTGGCCTCTGCCTCCATGGATCAGGAAGCCCACCTGTCGCTCTGTGTCACAGCCCCGTAGTCAGGTGAGGAGAAGGTACCCACAGTCTCCGGGGCCTCTGGTCTCGGCCTCCACCACTACACACAGAGGTCTGGAATGTGCTCTTCCAATGGCCCTAGGCTTCCTCTCTCTGCTTCTGCTTCAAAGATGGCTCATCCTTATGGCCAGGGGCCTGGTAATGAAAACTGACCAATCCCCTCTATGAGTGTTACTCATGTCCTAGTCAGTTGGTGGGAGTTACAGAGTTACATGGGTAGAAGAGGCATATTAAGAGCTTCACTCCACTAGGGGACCCTTAGACTCCCCATATCCTTTTTCCTCTCCATGTCTCCCATGTATTCACCCTCCACCCATCTTTCTATGGCTCTCTCTGTCCATTCTTCAATCCACCCCTCTCCACCCATCCTTCTGCTCTCCATCCATTCTTCCACACATCCCTCCTTTCACCCATCCTTCTATCTATCCATCCATCTACCCATCCATCATCCATCCATCCATCCATCCATCCACCCATCCACCTAACCATCCATCCATCCATCCACCCATCTATCCATCATCCATCTACCCATCATCCACATCCATCCACATTCATCCATCCATCCACCTAACCATCCATCCATCCATCCATCCAATAAGCATCTGCTCTGTGCTGTGCGCTGTGCGAGGTGCTGGGGATATGGTGGAGGGTAAAACCAGTGGTGTCCCTGCCTCCTAGAGCTTCTAGAAGAAACAGTGAACTAGATGATGGCATGTTGTGGTAAGTATCAAGCAGGCAAACAAGACAATGAAAGAGAGAGGCTTGAACATGAGAGGGCCTACTGCAGACAGCCGATCAGGGAAAGCCTGTCTGGAGAGAAGAGAGGAAGAAGCGTGGAGAGGAGATCCTTCCAGGCAGAGGGAGCAGGAGGTCCAGAGCCCAGAGGCTGGCATAAGCCTGGCTGCTGGTCTGAGCCTAGAGAGGTAGAGGATGATGTGGGACTTTGAAGGCCAAGTGAAGAGGCGGTGTTTTCCTACGTCCATGGGAAACAGAGGTGTATCATAGGCAGACGTGGGCTTTCAGATGGTCATCCTATTGCTGGGGCTTGGAGAGGCCGTGCGAGCAGACAGAAGAGCCAGAGACTGGAGCCACTGTCTGGAGAGTGCCGCTGGCACCCAGATGAGAGTGGTACAGGTAGCAAGAGAGAGATAGAGCTGTGTTGTGTCTTCATGTCATTGGTCAGGTCAAGAAAACTGTGAAAACATTCTGGCATGACGGTGGTGTAGACGGGGTCTTGGGGTTCATAACGTACACCTCATCCTTTGGGGGCACAGCAGGCCTATGACCTGGGATGCTGAGCCTTTGGGGGATAGGCCACAGCTCTGTGTTTCTTCTCTGCAGCCTATGAGCGGGACCTGGAAGCTGACATCCTTGGTGACACCTCAGGCCACTTCCAGAAGATGCTCGTGGTCCTGCTGCAGGTCGGTCCACCTGGGAATGATGAGTCCTTCCCTGGAGCCTGCCACTGGGACCCAAGCCCCAGGCCTAGGGCCCCTCCCCGCTGCCCATGCCCAGAGACCTTCCTGTCTTCTTGGGTCTAAAGTCCTGTTCCGCTGCGGTTCCTCCTCCACTTCCATTTCACCCTCTGAGCCTGGGGTGTTTCTCTGTGGCTCCCCTGGGTGTCTGGGGAGCCCGGGGTGCAGGGTCCATTTGCACAGGTCTGGGAGTCTAGGTGACCAGTCACCTCCTCCCTCCCCTCTCCACGCACACCCTCCTGTCTGGGCCTTTCTGCCCTGTGTCTTCTCTCATCACGGCCCTCTCTGAGGAGACCAGCAGGACCCGGTGATTCTGGGGCTGTACACCCTGCCTTCCTGTTCAAGCCCCACTACCTCCTCCCACCCCTCCCCAGAAGAATGTCAAAAGGACGCCCCAGGGTGGTTGCCCCCTGGGGTCCAGGGTTGAGTCCTGCCTGCCACCTTGGACTTTGTTTTATTTTGTCGCCCCCCCCCCCCCACACACACACACACTGTTTGCGAGCAAACTCCCACCATTACCTGGTAGCATTTAGAAATGGTGATCTTTTACCAACAAACCATGGTTCTGGATGCTTTCAAGGAATGGAAGGTTCTGGCAACGGCAAGACTGCCTTTCTGCGTGACTGCCCTGGGCGCTGCGGCGTCAGCATTGGGCTTTTACTGCAAGGTCCGTGGTTCCAAGCCACCAGCCACTCCACGGGAGAAAGACGAGGCCGTTTGCTTCTGTACAGATTTGCCAGAACTCCAAAGTCAACTGCCATCGATTCCAACTCCCAGGGACCCTACAGGACAGAACCGATCAGTCCCTCTCCATCCCCCATGAGACCACCGATCTTTACAGGAGCAGAGTCTCCTCTTTCTCCCTCAGAGAGGCTGGTAGGTTCGAACCGATGGCCTTGCAGTTAGCCACTCAATGCGTAACCTATTGTGGCACCATGTCAAGGGTAGCTGTAAGTCAGCATCAGCTTCATGGCAGTGGGTTTGGTGTGGGGCAGGGACCATATCCCTACCCCACCTGTGGGAATCTGACCACGGACACTTTGGGGACTAGCATTGATGTCTCAAGCCCAGCCTCAAGAGCCAGACGTTTGTCAGGCTTTTATAAAGAGAGTAGACCACTGTTTCCCTCCCCCCTGCACCCCACATTTCACACCAGGCCTCTCCACGCTTCTTCCTCACCATAACACCCTCCATCCCATATGAAGCAGCTGGGGCGAGATCAGGAGAGACTGCAGGAGTGGGAGCGTGTGACCTCTGTCGCCATCCTCACAGCTGTTTGCTCTGGAGAGGGGGGTTCCATCCTTACATGTTCTCCTGGGCGCTTGGCTCCTTGCAGCTGCCCATGAACCCTGAAGCCCTCTTAGCAAGTGGAGTCTGCGTGTGGTCCCCTCAGCAGTTTCATGGCAGAGAGCAGAGTGTGCCCAGTCCCAGAGAGAGCTCAGAAGGTCGGACATCCATCGTAGCACACAATCCAGGGGAGAGCCGGGTAGCAGTGGAGGGCTGGCCAGGCCAACCACGCCCCTCTGTGCACCCAAGCTGGGGCCCCGTTCCCTTGTTGTGTCTTGTCTTCTTAAGTCTCCTGTCTCAGTGGGGCGTAGGGGTGGGTGGAGCAAGAGAAGCACCAGGAGGAAGGCTGTCCTCAGCTTTCCAGCTCAGCTCCCAGGCCCCAAGACTCAACTCCTCCCGGGTGAATTCTTTGAGTTAGGGTGTCAGGGTCCCTTAGAGAACACAAACATGCAGACTCTTGGCCCCTGTGGTGTCACTGTGGGAGAGTGCTGTGGGCAGTTCCAGGACCCACGGCAGGGGCTTCTCCAGAGCACGGAGACCTGTCGCCAGAGCTGTCCTCCTACGAGGCTCTGGCTTCCTGTGGGATGAGGCGCTGAGGTGACACTCAGGGCTGTTAGATCCCAGCTCCAAGGGCCAGGGGGAGGCAGCAGCAGGGGCCCTGTGTGTCATCCTGGATACATCTACGCCACCGGGGCTTCCCAGCCCTTCCTGTCACCACCACCGGCATCTCAACCTTGCCCCTGGCTCCGGGACTTGAAACATGATGTGTCCCACGTCCCCCCACCCAGGGTACCAGGGAGAATGACGATGTCGTGAGCGAGGACTTGGTGCAGCAGGATGTCCAGGTGAGCCAGCACCTCGGAGCCCCGAGGGCAGGGAAGGCTGAGGGCCCCCGGGGAGGGGTGGGGGTGGAGTAACCTGTGAGGCTTTGTTGGAGAGAGGATTCACGGTATCTTTCAGAGGTGCGGCACGTGTGTGCAGGCCCGGCATTGTGTATTCCAGAGCTCTCTTTTGCTCATGTATCCATTTGGTTGGTCACTAGGTGTTGAGCACCTCCTACAGGCCATGCACGCTGCTCAGCAGGGAGGACCCCCCAGGGAACCAAATTAGACCACCCTGGGAGAGCCAAGCTTAGTTTAGCCACACAGCATCTACTCTGCTGATAGTGAGAGTGCTTGGGCAGATAGTGAGAGTGCTCACAAGTCATGGACACAGACGTATAAAGAAGTTGTCACCATGCATTTCACACAGTGCTGACTGCTGAACGCTCACTACCTCCCGGCCTCCAGAGAGTGGGGTCAGTGCTCTAAAGAAAGCAGAAATCCGAGTTCATGCTAGAGGGAGGGAGGGGGAAACTCAGGAAGGGCTGCAAGTAAAGGGAAACATTGAATCTGGGTCTTGAAGGCTGAATAGGAGCTCCCCCAGAAAGGGAGAAGCTCCGCTGGTGCCTGCAGAGATCCTGAGGCTAGCGGTTGCTGGTCTGCTCAGGGGCCCACCTCAGTTCTTATTGGCTGGGCCAGGATGTCCCGCCCCTACGGACATGTCCTCTTTCAGTGAAGGCACGTCCCTTTCTCCGTAGGACCTGTACCAGGCAGGGGAACTGAAATGGGGAACAGACGAGGCCCAATTCATTTACATCTTGGGAAATCGCAGCAAACAGCATCTTCGGTTGGGTAAGCTCCACAGAAGACCCACGCCCGAGGGGGCAGCACCCAGACTCCTTTCTCTTTGTCTTTGGACTTTTCTTTTCCACTAAGGGACTTGAGCGCTACTTCGCCCTCAACCCAAATACCAGCCTTGGGTGTTGTCTTGCTTCCCCCCTGGTTCAAGTGGACTGTGTGTATGGTATAGAGCAGTCGGGTTATGGAAAAACTGAATGGGAAATAGTGTGGAACCATATGCCCTTCCCCCTTACTATTACTTCTGGATTTTGCATGTGTGATTTTTTTTTTCAGTTTATTTTGAAAGCTTAGAATTCAAATTACACCAGAATGATTAAAAAGTTTTTACACTTTAAGCTCTGATCAGTAAGGTGTGGGCACCTTTACTCATAAACAATTGAAATGTTTTATCTAAAAGATAATTTCCTCGATTAATAACACACTGTGAGTTAGGAAGCTAAGCTGCTAAACATAGGTTCAAACCCACCAACTGTTCCACAGGAGAAAGATGAGGCTGTCTGCTCCCCTCATGATTTACAGCCTCAGAAACAAGGTTGCTATGTGTCAATTTGACCTTGACAATGGACAAGCCAATCTCAATACACTACTCACCAAGTCCATAGATGATAGCAGACCTCACTTGTGTGTTGTGTAGTGCTCAGGAGATTTGACAAGTGGTTCATGTCACGTGGCTGCCACTGCTGTATCTTGCAGAATGGCGTCACCTTCTGTACTTTGCTCACTGACCACTTCCTCCTCCCAGTGTAGGTAGCGGAGTGGGTACACATTGGGCGGCCAACCCAACCCTAACCCTAACCCAACCCAAACCCCCGCGGAGAAAGGCAGGGCTTTCAGCTCCCAGGAAGAGTTACAGTCTTGGGAACTCACAGGGGCAGTTCGACCCTGTCCTAGACGGTCACTGAGAGTCCGAATCGACTCGATGGCAGTGAGTTTCCTCCTTGTGAATCCCTTACCACCGTCGTTCTTTTCGTGGTCTCAGTAGTTGGATGACATTTTTAAGAACCAACCATCCGGTCTAGATCTGATGTCATTAGGCAGTAGGTTCTATGGTCCCCTCCCAAGTCCCCATTGCATGCGTGAACAGGAAACTCAGCCTTCCCATCCAAGTACCAGCCCTGTCTTTGTGTCAGAGGACGGGGTGCCCCAGCCCCCACAGGGTGCTGCAGGGGGGCTGGTGATGCCCCTGCAGGACCAGCCTCAGCTAAATGGTTCAGCCCCCTGTCCCCACCTCTTTCGCAAGCTCTGTTTCTGCTTACTGTGGGGGGCACTTCCTGACACCCTGTCTCCCCACCTCAGTGTTTGACGAGTACCTGAAGACCACCGGGAAGCCCATCGAAGCCAGCATCAGAGGGGAGCTGTCTGGGGACTTTGAGAAGCTAATGCTGGCTGTGGGTATGTCCCGACACAGCACTCTAGGGGGCCCCGGGACTTCTGGGGGCTGAGAACAGAAAGGGGGAGTCGTGTGGTA